ACACACACACACACACACACACACACACACACACACACACACACACACACACACACACATATATATATATATATATATATATATATATATATACATATATGTAATATACTCCGCGCTTGTTTCGCCGAGTATATGCACTTTTGACCCATTATATACTTTGATATACCTGTGGGTGGATAGTTTCCACGTCGATGGCCTAACGCACACACCAATGCGGCCTACACATACACAACAGAGACCTTTATGGATGGAGGATACTGCTACGACTCGACATTGGACTCGATGCTGATGTGCATGATGTGGCAAGACAACTGCTACAACTTTCCCAACTACTTCGCACAGGGTAAGGTGATGCAGACAAATGTCCCCACTCCCACGTCTATGCGATCGCCAGGCGCCATGCAGGTGAGGGAGAGGGCTTGTGATGGGTTAGACATGTGTGGGTGTGTTTGTATGATGTTATGGAGTTGTAGTTGATATATATATATATATAGTTGTACTGGAATATACTGGTGAATCAAGACACAGTGTAAAGCAATTTGATGCCGACACATGTCCCCACTCCCACATCTATGCAATCTGCAGGTGTGGCGTGTAGAGACTGTTTTACAATATAAGTACATGCCACTGGCACATATGCACACTAACATTTATATATACATATCAATGCATATGCACACTATCTATATACACATATTAATGCATATTCACACTATCTATATACACATATTAATGCGTATGCACACTATCTATATACACATCAATGCATACGCACATCATCTATATAAACATATCAATGCATATGCACACTATCTATATACACATATCAATGTATATGCACACTATCTATATACACATTAATGAGTATGCACACTAAAGACTATCTTTATCCGTATGGAGGGTGATGCAAATGGACATCAACCTGGAGCACATTGCGCGCGAGAGAGGAATGTACGACGACTTAGTGCGAGACTCTACCAACAGAAAAAACATCATTTTAAATTTATTCACCTTTTACCCAAAAAACAAACAAACATCATTGTAAATATATTCTACCTATTCTACTTCCAACGTATGTAACATTTTCATTCATATATTTATATATTGAAGCGTATGTACATATTAAACAATATGTACGTATTAAAGTATATGTACATATTACCCCATGTGTACGTATGACAGTACAAGTAGATATTAAACCATGTGCTTAAAGTATATGCACATATTACCCCATATGTACGTATTAGCGGATATATACATAGTAAAGCGTACGTGCCTATTTTAAACCGTATATTCATCCACACAGGGGGTGATGCAGATGGAGCTGATCCTGGAGCACATTGCACGCGAGATGGCAATAGACGACAACTTAGTGCGCGAGCGTAACTTCTTGCGCATTGGTGATGCCACACCCAACGGTCAGATCATCACCGACACAGGCGGCGGTGACTTCACCTTGCCCAAGGTGCGTACGATATAGGGATTTGAGGTTTAGGGGTTTAGAGTGTGTGTTGTGTACGACAGTTTGTGGCATTAGGTGTATTCTGTACGACATATCTATGCGTCTCATCTCTGCGTCTTATGTCTTATGTATGCATCTTATCTATGGGTCGTATGTTTGATCTATTTGTCTTATCTATTCGTCTTATGTCTTATCTATGCGTCTTATCTATGCGTCGAATGTTTTTACCTATGTGCCTTATCTATTCGTCTTATGACTTATCTATGCATCTTATCTATGGGTAGCATGTTTTATCTATGTGCCTTATCTATTCGTCTTATGTCTTATCTATGCGTCTTATCTATGGGTATAATGTTTTATCTGAGTCTTATCCACGCGTCTTATGTCTTATCTATGGGTCTTATGAGACAGCATGTAGTGCTTCGTTTTACCTAGGTTACGAGCAGGATGGTGTGTGAGTTGTATGCACACTTGTCTGATCTCGTGTTACCCAACGCACGACTGTGCGTGTGTGGTGTCAGACAACCCTTGTGTTGTGTACGGCAGTCTGTGTGCCTTTTGAGACCATCTGTTTGTCCACTTCACACGCAGGAGACGACAGAATAGGTGAGTTTATGACAATTGGTCTAGACTCGCTCTTTTGTTCTCTTGTCCGTAAACCTCAGTTTAGGGTCTAGGATTTATGACGGTTTATATTCATTACTAATGAGTCATTTTCAACCGACTAAATGGTAGTCTTATCACGGCCTTAAACTATCCTTGTGCATATGCAATACTTATATATAACGATGATAGCTCATACGACCTACACACTTACCATCCAAATCCCCTACACACACACATAAGTCTGGGCACGGTGCAGGAGGACTGTAACTACACCCAGTGCAAGTAACATGCAGACACGGTCAATTTAATCAACCACTGCGTTTATCTCACTCAATGTACACCTGAGATAAAGAGGCTAACCTATATTCCACACACCCGTACTCCCTATATTCACTCCACACACCCGTACTCCCTATATTCACTCCACACACCCGTACTCCCTATATGCACTACACACACCCGTACTCACTATATTCACTACACACACCAGTACTCCCTATATTCACTCCACACACCCGTACTCCCGATATTCACTCCACACACCCATAC